TTTCGTCGTTTAATTCATTGATCCCATAAAATACTAAATTGTTTTGCCTTTGTTTATTAGCTACAATATCCATATCATTTCTTATAGACATATTTTCATCTGTAAGCGCACCTATCTCTTCTTTAATTTTCACAATTACTATAAGCTGTAAAGCCATATCCAGTGGCCAGAGTTCTTTGAAGAGTATGGTAGATATTGGTGTCGTTAAGATTACAAAACAGGGCAAAAAAGAGGTTTACACTCGCAACAATTTTGAGGATTTACCACCCAATACCCAACAATCTTTTCAAACAAATGATATTACTGAACATGATTTCATTCAAGAAGATGAAAACAGAAATTCATAGATATAATCAAACGTTGTCATCTTTCTTACTAATGTATTATTTGTATTTGTTAACATTTAAGCAATGAACGATGGACCCACTGCATTTTTTTATTTTTTATTTTATTCTATGAATTCAATTACTGTATTACTTATTTTGTATTTTGATTGTTTTCAAATGAATTAAACTTACCAGTGTATTTTTTTTTATTTTTTGATCATATAATTTACTTTACTTATGTATTTTTTTATTATTTTTTGTTCATCATATGAATTTACATGTTTTTAGTTCTCAGTATAAGTAATTAAATAGAATTTATCGTAGTATTTTTACCTTTAAGAAAAACAGATAATTACAAACCAGATTAAAAGAATTGCAGCAATTGCTAGCTACTCACAAAAGATATAAAAATTGAAATAATTGCAAGAAATTGAAAGAAATAGTTACCTACCTTTTTAATTGTTGAAATAATTGACAAAATTGAAAGAATTGCAAGAAATTTGGAATTTTGTGGTGAAGGCACTGTTAACCAAAACTGAGCTACAAACATCTGTGTATAAAATTTGAAGCCAATTAATGATATAGGATGGTAAGTGTAATTTTCGTGCCAAGTTAGTAGATAATTATGCTCAATGCGATCGAAAGCTTTTTCGTGGTCAAATCCGACCAGTGTCCCCTTCATCTGTTTTTGATACATGTACTTCAAAATGTAGTTGATGGACTGTAGGTTATCTAAAATGGTCTTGCCTCTGCCGGCCCCACTCTGAACGGGGAGAATGAGTCCATCCAGGACTTCGGATAGCCCATTGGCCAGGACCTTGGTAATGATTTTATAGTCTGTGCAAAGTAATAATATTGGTCTGTAATTTTTTAGATGTTTTGTGTTAATATATAAGGTTGATACAAAAGGGTGTAGATTAGTAGTGTATTAGATTTTCAGTACCTTTATTGATTCTGACTTCAATTTGTCCTGGGCGAGTCTGTCCTCGCCTTTTTTCTGTGTTGTTTTCAATTTCATAACTTTTATCTTTTCTCTTTAACTTTTCACTGTATAACTGCATAAAACATTCTGAGATATCATTTGAGATGTCGGACATCTATGGGCCTCATATCATTCAGAGCTCTGTCTCTGGGGTGGGCCTTTTTGATGTTTTACTTAGCTCATTTGGGGTTGGGTTTGGGTTTGATCATACTGAGTTAATATTCTCCTCGGGTTGTTGTATTGTATAACTTCATTCGTCGTTGAGGTCGAGAGTGGGGCACTCATTGGCGTGTGCCCGTATCCCCCACACCTATAACATTTTCGTTGGGGTTTTTGCTCTCGATAAAATACAAACGCCCCATTTTTTAATTCAGAAGACTTCTATTTAATGATCTCATCCTCTTCGTTAAAATAATTACCCTTTGTAGGTTCATCATCATCAGCTAGTACATTTTTCTCCAGACTACCGTCATTCACTTCAATAAGGGAAGTGTCCATTTTGTTTATTTTGTGAATAAGGCTCTCAGAATGTGACATTACAGTTTGATTGATGTATCGGCTGAGAAAAATAACCGCTCCATTTTCCAAAATTTCTTTTAACTTCTACCAAAGTACGACATTTAACAAGTAAACTACAAAAATACATTTCAAAGTCAAATTGTTTTTTGCCAGAATTAATACAATTCTTTGTCATAATTTTCATATGGTGACTTAGTCAGATACGTATTGTAGGTTTTTTAAAGTCTGTCTCAACTGCCAATCCGTTGGCTATTTTCCAAATTCTTGATAAAAAAAAGTGGACATGGATTCTGAATTAAAAACATTCAAAACAGACAGAACAATTGCCATACCCCAATCACAATTAATCTGGAATGGCTGTGAAACGTTTGGTCTCCCTTTTGCAACTTTTTCAGCAAATCTAAAATGGCTCAAAAATGCCGAAATATGAGGTTGATTCTGATTTTCCCATAGAGCGCCTACAATTGGGATTGAGGGTTGACCAGGAACTGGATTCTGGAAACTGACTTCATAGTACAATACCTGCGTGTTTGAAGACGTTTTCCTGACAACTCCACCTGTTGCATCAATATACAACGTTTGTATTGGCCATTTTGTTCCAAAGAAGTAAACTGTTTGGCAGACGAAGATTGTCAACTCAGAGAGTATGGAAGGGCATCAGTGCCAAAAGTCTAGATAATATAGATATTTTGTGGTATAAGTTAAAAGTTGCCCGTAGAAATACCAGTAATGCATTACACAAAAAAAAATCAAATGTTTCATGTTTTAATTGAATAGATGTAACACTTGTAACAAAAGTCAAATGTTAAATTTTCACGCTATAAAACAACTATAAAAGGAACTCTTTACAAACCAGAAAAATTGCACAGAACTTCAAGCACTCATTTAGTGACAGCTTCTGGTGTTTATCATGTTACTTTTTAGTTATCAACATATAAAATATAGTAAGATAGCTGAAATGAGCGATTTTAATAAGACCTTATTCATGCATCACCCATATTGAATTCAGAACATGCCTAAGACTCTAATAAAGGTAGTGTCGTGACATTTTAGGAAAATCGCTACTTTGTATTACAAAGATAATAAAATGTAATTCACTTACTTTTAAGATCAAGGAAACAGTACTGCGGAAAAACAATACAAATTCTTAAAAATTGCAATAAATGACAAATAAAAAAAGAAATATCCCATTAAAATTGTGGATTGAAAAAAACAGATATTAACCAAGAAGTGGGCGATAAAGTAAAGTTAACTAACCTCTCTGACAAAATTTAAGGTAAGTCATCCTAATAACACATAACCTAATTCTTGTTGATTCTTTATTAATTGACTTTAAAAAATAGTGCCTTCCATAACAACTCAACTACTTTACCACCAACTATGGTCTGTCTTATGAACCATTCCCGAGAGATTATTAATAATTATCTTATTTAAAACTCACAATTTAAGGACATTGGAGGAGTTCGATCCTGAAACCTGAACAACATGACTATATCTCTTTAGACACTTGCTCAGACAAACTGAAACGTATTGAGTTATAGATTTACTCGTCTTTTTTCAGGTTATAGAAAAAGCCAGAAGAAAAGAAATAACAGTCACAGGATTAATTTGAGTAAAATACCATCAAGATTGTCTGAAACATTACCAAAGTCATAATTTAAACATTAAGTTTAAAGTTAGAAGGATTGCCTTGAAACTGATTGCCCAGGCAGTAAAAAAATACCCAAGGAGAAAAAGAAAGTTGACTCATTAATATAAGCTGTGTCGTGTCTCCTCGGCAGTTTGTAAAATGGGCATTCAAAAGTTTCTGTGGGAAACTCTCTTGTAATATGAGGACCTTTATTTAAGTGATGAAGAGAGTCATTAACTTACACATTGCCGACAGTGAAAGTCATGCTCTCTGATCTCTCTTACTTTTAGTTAATTTCACCGTGCTATAATCAACTATATGGAATAAAATTTATAACTTTCATTTTACTGATGTTCCATTGGACCAGTATATCTTCTACTGTTAATAGGATCAATATGATTATCGCATGGCAACCGATTAAAACTGTAAGTATCAAGTATCTTATCCTTCATTTTTGTAATTTCATGAAATATATTCATTTATTTCCAAAGGGAGTCAGATTTAATGAGCCATCTAATCCAAGTTAATTTTAATGTCTTTATAAAGGATTCTAGATGAATCATTTTACAGCCTCCAAATTCATAGTCTTGTATCATTATTACCCCATAAATAATTAAAGAAAATATCTGACAGATTCTTAATAAAATTATGATCCGGTTGGAATAGAACTAAATAGGTGAGTCAAGTTTAGCAATATTAAGGTTTTAATGACAGTAATTTTCCCAAAGATGATTAAGTGACGCCTTTTCCAGTTTTTTACTTCATTTATCTTACTGTCACAGTTTAACTCTGAATTGTTTCCAAATTTGTTGAAAATATAATTCCAAAGATTTTTATAGGTCTATATGTCCATGTTAGTCCTATATCTTTACAGATGCACTCTGAACCTATCTTACTTCCTATCCATATGTCTGACGTTTTACTTATATTAGGTTTTAAAAGGTTTAGAGCATTTCTTAATGAACTTCCCTGCCATCTAGGTACAATGTAGTATCATCAGAATATTGACTTCATTTTATCTCTAATTTATTTATTTTATATCTTTTCTATTTCTTATTAATATTCCTAAAATGTCTACACACAAAAGAAATAAGTCTATGAATGATGAAGAACTTTGAGGTTACCCCATTTTGAATAACACATAGTCTTACATCGTTTGTTATAACTTTAATCCAGTCAATAAACCCACTCGAGACTTCTTAAACCTCAAAAAGAAAGTTCCACGATAAAGAATCAAACGCTTTTTCAAAATCTGCCACCAAAAGTATTCCTGGAATTTGTGATCCTCAGTAAATGTCATTACATCGTGTATGAGTCTAGTATTTTTACCGATACATCTCCCACATTTGTTCTGCCAAACCTGATAAGATTTTTTAAGATACATTAAGGAGAGAGATTGGACACCAGTTGGAGAGCAATTCTCTAGATTTATCCCCTTTTGAAAGAATATAAATAATACCTAGTTTCTGACTCGGTGAATCAGCATATTATCTAAATATTCTTCATGTTTGAACTTTATGTGATTCTATTTCTAAAAGAAAAGATGAAACCAAAAAGAAAATGTAGAAGTAGCAATACAGGTTTGTTCGAATAATAACCTCAACAATGTAACATTTTTAGACGTGAATGAGTCCACATAGAAAATCATGATAAAATAACTATGGAAACTAGATATTTGACATTAAATGTATAGTAAAGATGTTTTCTAAACTTTTAATGTGTATCAAGGACACTAATATCATCGATTTCATTCCAATTGCCAATCAGATATCTGTAGTTCTTGCAATTCCACTTAACTAAGCATCTTATGACGTCACTAATATAAGATGCTTTCTAAACTTTTTATGTGTATCAAGACAATTAGATTTCGGGGAAGGGAGGGTTTGATTCTCCCAAATGTACAGGCCTAGGGTGGAGCAGACACTTTATTTAGAAATTAGGTTTCGGGGAAGGGAGGGTTTGATTCTCCCAAATGTACAGGCCTAGGGTGGAGCAGACACTTTATTTAGAAATTAGGTTTCGGGGAAGGGAGGGTTTGATTCTCCCAAATGTACAGGCCTAGGGTGGAGCAGACACTTTATTTAGAAATTAGGATTAAGGGTCTTGATATTGGGTTTTCTTCTGTTCTTATTCTGATCTGAAATTAGAAAAAATAACTCGCCCGATGGGCGAGAAGTATAGTATCTGTTATGTACTGATTGTTTTTAGTTTATTATGAACAATATTATCATTTAAGTTCTTATTTTTTGAATATGCAACTATCATTTTCTGCTTATAGACATGGGGGAATTTCTCTTGAAGGCTCTTATAGTGGGCATGAACTATCTTGCTTGCTCGATTGCTGGCTGTATTAAACGGGACAACAAAGGGTGCTATGCCTACATTATGATGAATATTTAGTCCTATAGGTCTTGCTGTATTCAATGTCTCAATCCAATGGGCCTCCCTAGATTGACGGAATTTGGTAGTTTCATCTTCGGGCAAGTCAATTTCTATACGCTCAATTGGGATTAGGGTGAGATCGTCTATTGAATGGTCGTCGA